AGGATGCAGTGTTATTTTAGAACATACGATCATAAGCGTGTGCTATAATGACTTCAGTGTTTGCCCATTTTGTATGTGTTCGTGATGTTGCTAGGCAGGTTTGTGTGTGTTAACTGAAAATATGAACAGCCACACACGTGTTAGTGTGTATGTTGGCATGTGTGTCTGTGTTTACTTAGAGAGGTTAATAGGAGCCACCATGTGGTCAGAGGACTGATATCTTGGCCTTCAGTTCATTTCTGTTGATTTTCAGCCAGGTAGGCGGGGCCCCGCATAAAACCATGAATCAGCACAGCTGATTGCCTCTGTCCTTCTGCCAGCTCTTCTCCCTCTCCCACACACAGAGATGCACACAGACTGAGAGACATAGAGAGAGACAGAGAACCAGAGTGGAGGAGACAGTGAGATAGATAGTGTAGGCAGGTAGATAGATGGAGATAATCTTATTTGGTCACTTGGGGGCTGATTAACTCTAAACTCCTTCTAATTCCTTAAGCCTTCTCTCAGTACCCAGGAAACATGCTTTCTTTATGTCCTAGTATTCCTACAAGGTAAAGTTATTGTCGAACTCGTGTTACTCATCAGTCAGTCACCAATATTGATTAGGAAGGGGCAGTGAATGTACTCAAAATAAATGAAATCATTCTCTGTTGTCTTAAAAGCTAGCTTGTAAATGTAGTACTGTGCGTGTTTGTAGCCGTGCACACATGTTTGCACATGTGCATATGCATGTCGTGTGTAGTACACTGTGAACAGAAATAGATATGAGCTTGTCTGTAAAGGCTAACTAATGAGTCCCTGCATCCTGAGCACATGTAGCTATTTATATACTATAACCTCCTCCTTCTCCTCCTCCTCCTCTGCAAGCTCTTCCCCATTCAGCTCTCTTGTCTCATTTCATTATACACATATACACACACTAACACTCGCACAGCAGCACTGCAGCATCACTGGCAAGCCTTTGGTATCCAGACAAATTCCTGAAAATATCTTTTTAACCCCGATGACTTGGGGTAGGGAGGAGTTGCAATGAGTTTCGGTGTTAGTATTAATTAAGACAATGGGTTAGTTAATCAGTTCAAACGTTTTTTTAATGATTTTAATGAACACTATTAATAAATGCAGCTCCGACTGTTAGTGTTCCTTAAATTTAAGCATATAAAATATTAAATTTCATCAAAATGCAAGTCGCTTGGTCCCTCTGAAGTCAATTTAAATGTGTTCTCATCCTCTTTCCCTTGAGTGAAATTCACTGAGTCAAATCAAAGCTCTTCAAATTTCAAATTATCTTCCTGTGGGAACATTAGATTCAATTAAAAGTCTTATAAATAAACTTTAAATCAGATCCTGATTCCACCCCAGCCCTGGCGTTTGCACCTGATCCAGCAGCTCTTCACGAGCTCACTCTTGCTAGAGGGTGGCCTCCTTCATCTATAATTTAGCTCATTAGAGACACTAATTATGGAGTATTGGGGGCAGATTTCTAACAGTACAGCAATATTTCATCTAATTACCTCCACAGTGAAAAAGAAATATGCTTAGTATTATGAGAGATTGATGCTATATTGAGAGATCCTGTGGTGTAGCTGCCGCTGTCTCAATCAGTCATGATGCAGGATGGTCCTGCTCAGCTGGCTGATAGCAGAGATGTTAGATAGGCAACACAAAATGGAGTAGGCAGCAGACACAAGCTCAGCTGGTCCATTAGGAGCATGTCTGTTTCCTGACAATCAGAATTGAGATGACAGAGCATTAAAAGACCCAGAGGAGCCCGTGAGCATCGATGCATACCGGTGTGTGCATATGTGTGTGTGTGGTGACCTAGGGAACAGGCCTATGGGGGGTCTTGTGGGGGGAAGGGTAGGCAGGATTAGTAATAGTGTGCAGCACAGTTATTGGTCACTGGACACAAACAATGGGAGGGCTAAAGAGGATTTGGTCTGTGTGTGTACCCCCTCCTCCTCTCCTGCTGTCCTGTAGTGCCACCGGGAAGTGTATGGTATAGAGAGCCAGGCTGCACCCTTTTGGGCGGCCCCGTACATCTGGAAGATTGGCCTGCCTGTCTGTCTACCACATCCCCTCCCCCACTCTATACAAGGCAGAGTAGGACTTGAACTACATATGGAAGAGAAAAGCACAGCGACATTAGTCACCAATTAGACGAGGCCTAGTCCAGACAGGATGCGTGTCCGTCTCATTAAAGTTAAGAATCGATTGTGATGTGAGCCACTGGAACTGATAAATCTCACTTGGGAGAGGTGTAAGTGTGTGATTGCATAATACCTGCACTGTCAGTTGTGTCATTTGTTCAGCTGGTTAGAAGTTTCTAAATATACCAGATTAGTCTTCTCGCTGCCACACCATTGACTCAAAGTCGTGTTCCTCAAGCTCAAAGGCCCTTGTAGTGTGACTTTAAAGGCAGATACTGATATCGATATATGCAAGCTTGAAAAAAAAAAAACCATTAACAATATATCGGCTGATTTTCATTTTTTAACATAAACACACCACACCAACAAACATTTTTCAAATCCAACATTACTAATGTGTAAATTAAAAGCAGCAATTCTGTTCTGCAATTCCTTCTGACTGATTTGCCGACATATGTGCCAATATTGGTATATCGAAGTGAATTATACACTGGCCTAGATTATTAATTTAGTCAGGCTCTATTTTCTAATTTTAAATATTGTAAATCATCTGGAAAATCTGTTGCATGCATAAAATAACCAGGCAGGAAGTTTTGAAATTTTGACTAATCCAACAAGTTACATACACATTGAATTAAGATTCTTCACATCTATGCAAAAATTATTCCTATCATGCAATAAAGCAATCCCGCTGATTGGTTTTCATCACTGCCCACAATGGCCAAATCCACCCAGAAATATTAATGAAGAAGCTACATCCCTATAAACAGTATTGAGAAATCTCTTGAGAGTTGACGCTTTATATCTTCTCATGGTGTATATCGTGCTATGACCCAGTCCTAGTTCTGTGTGTATGTAGATGCCTGAGATGACAAGGCATGCTTGGCGAGGACGATGCGGGCGGTGCTAATAGGCAGCTCCAGAGCAAAATGCCTCCTTTGTGTCAGTGAGATTTAATGAGTCTGTGATAGGCAGCGTTGTGAGCTTGCCCTCAGAACTCCATGTAGACACAGACACTCTTAAACAAGGAAGGCTATTGTGTGGTTAAGTGATGTCTGTGTATGTGTGAGTAAGTGTGTGTGTTTGAATTGGAATATAATCTGTCGGTGGCAGTTGGCTTCATGTTTTATGGAATGAGTCTCAGAGCAGGAGGCTAACAATACATTTAAACAGCAATGTAAATTACTTATTGTAGGAACTGCTTAAGGTAAATTGCTCTTGATTAGCGCATCAGCTGAAATGATAAAATACTAAGTGAGAATGATGAAGCAGATGACCCTGTTTGCATGATAAAAGATGATAGCTTTTATTGCATCATTGCTATGTATTGAGAAAAGTGATCAAAAAAGAGTTGTAACTAACTTATTTTCAGTATCAATGAACCTGATTAATCTGTTTTGATTAATAGATTCATTATTTGAACTATAAAGTTGTAAAAGAAAATGCCTATCACAGTCCTCAAAATGCTTCTTTTGTCCAGCCAAAAGTCACAAAGTAAAAGAAAGTCATTTACACAATGATATTAAAGAGAAAAGGCAGAAAATGTAATGATATAGAACCAGTACGTTTTTGTTTTTGAACATGAACATTAGTGATTTAGTGACATTATAGTACATTTACCTGCCATTTCCTAAACACAGGCTGATAGTCCACTGCTCCTAATCTTGTTTGTTGTGTTCCAAGTATAGCCGTGCTGTCACATTCTGTGAAGCACCGTGACCTTTCTCCATCTCTGACTCCCTTCTGTTCTCCTTCCCAGTGGCTACCATGACAACAGAGGCAAGTGCAGTGAGTGAGGCAGACACTGAGGGCAAGCAGAAGGCCAGCGGCGCCGAGCCCGAACCAGAACCAGAGAACAAACAGAAGCCAGAGGCGGCAGCGTCTGAGCCGGAGGGGGAGCAGTCGAGCAAGAGGGCCCAGGGGCAGGCCTCTGAGCCTGGGCCAGCTGACATAACTACCTCCCCTGAGGAGGAGCAGCTGAAGCCTCGTACCCGGACCTCTGCTGGCAAAGGCCTGTCTCGCCTCTTCTCATCTTTCCTCAAACGCCGCTCACAGTGCTCCGAGGGAGAGGGATTTGAGGCAGAGAAAGCTAGGGAGGAAAAGGCAGACAAAGAGGAAAAAGCTGACAAGGCAGAAGAGGAGAAAGTGGAGGTGGTGAAAAGTGAAGAGAAGGAGGCTAAAGCAGAGGAGGAAAAACCTGAGGTGAAAGAAGTGCAAAAGAAAGAAGAAAAAGTAGAACAAAAGGAGGATAAAAAGAAAGAGGAAGAAAAAGTTGAGAAGAAGGGCAGTAAAAAGAAAAAGAAAGATGCCAAGAAGAAAGTAGAGGAGAAGAATGAGGACAAAGTGAAAAAGGACGAGGAAAAAAAGGAAGAGGAAAAAGTGAAAAAGAAAGAGGAGAAGAAAGAGGAGCAAAAAGAGGAGGAGAAAACACAGCATACTGTAGAAAAGAAGGAGGAAACATTGGAGAAGAAGAGAGAAGAGGAAGAAAAGAAGGAGACCACTGAGGTTAAAGAAAAGGGGGCAGAGGCCGGAAAGAAAGAGGAGGAAAAAGTAGATAAGAAGGTGGCAAAGAAAAAAGAAAAAGAAGAAAAGGTAAAGAAGAAGGAAGAGGAAAAAGCAAAGAGGAAAGCAGAGGAAGAAGAAAGGGCAAAGAAGAGAGAGGAGGAGAAAACAAAGAAGAAAGAAGAAGAAAAAGCTAAAGAGGCGGAAAAAGCAAAGAAGAAAGAGGAGGAAAAGGGCAAAAAGAAAGAGGAGGAGAAACCCAAAGAGGAGTCAAAAAAGAAAGAAGACGAGAAGGTGAAAGAAGAGGCAAAGAAGAAAGAGAAGGAAAAGGAGGAAGAAAAGACAGAGGAAAAGCAAAAGAAGGAAGAGGAAAAGGGGAAGAAAAAAGAGAAGGGGAAGAACAAAGGAAAGAAGGAGGTGAAAGGGTCAAGTGAGGAGCAGGTGAAAGCGCCGATCGCTGCTCCAGAGCCTGAGCTCAAAACTGAGCCAGATACTGAACAGGCTCCTGATCAGCACTCAATAAGCAGCTCAGAGACACAGGTGAGTGACTCTGACAAAAATTAGCCTTCACTGAATAGATCAGGATTTTGGAAAATATGATTAATTGCTTTCTTGCTGAGAGGTAAATGAGAGGGTTGAGACCACCCTAATGTCAACCTAAATTATTGTCAGATACTGCAGATACACATGAAAAAAAGAGCTCTCCTGCTCACAGATTCACACGGCAGATTGAATTGTAGTAGAGGAGCATGTGTTTTTCTTTTCTTTGTAATGAATTTTTAATGTTGTGGACAGCTTGCTCAGCGAAAGTAACTATGCTGGGTCGAGCTGAAAGCTTGGTCTCAAGCCAAAATGATCCATGCTGTTTTGAACTCGAGCTATTATCAACAGCAATATAATTGCTGTTTACTTAAGGTCTGTAGTTGTTTTAATTATAGTGCTGTCATCATTTAAAACAAAAGTACATTGTGTCCTCCCACATTCTTCTCATCTGTATTTGACATACTTTGCAAATGTCTTGTGTTGACTCTACCAGCCAGCACAGGAGGAACACAAGGAAGAAGCTGCGATAAAGGAGGAGCCTGAAGTAGTGGAAGAAGTAAAGAAGGAGGACACAGAGGAAAAGGAGGAAGAACCAGCAGAACAGGAGGAAGAAGTCAAAGGAGAGGAAAAGGCAAAGGAGGAGGTGAAGAAGGAGAAGCCTTCTAAAGAAAAGAAGACAGAGAAGAAGACAGAAGAGGCTAAAGGCTCCAAACGTCAGAAAACCATGCAATGCAAAGTTACCTTACTGGATGACACTCAGTTTGAGTGTGAGCTTGATGTAAGAGACAAATTACAGTATGTTCTCCTGTGTTTGCGTAATGGCTGCCTCTCCAGTTAATCATTAAATTGTTGAGGACTGAATAATACTGAATAATACATCTCACCCACTGTGTGGCTTTCTGCTTGTGTCTCTCTTCATCATTTAGAAACATGCTAAAGGCCAGGAACTATTGACAAAGGTATTGGACCATGTCAACCTGCTGGAGAAAGATTATTTTGGCCTTGCTAACTGGGAAACCCCAACCAGCAAGGTAGGCTGTTTTTTCTCCTCTGGGTTTATATCAAGCACAGCCAGGTATTTTACATGACACTGACAAGAAACTGGGTGTGAGCAGTTGATCATTTGTTTCCCTCATTTTCCACAGACATGGTTGGAACCCACAAAAGAGATCCGGAAACAGGTTTCAGGTGCTGTCTATGAGTTTACACTCAACGTGAAGTTCTACCCTCCTGATCCAGCTCAGCTTACCGAAGACCTCACCAGGTGAATGTCTTAGGTGTTAAAGGAATAGTTTGACATTTTGCAAAATCTGTTGATTCCCTTTCTTGCTGAGATTCAGATGAGAAGATTGATACCACTCTCATGTCGGCTTGTGAAATATAAAGCTTGAGCCAACAGCTGGTTAGCTTAGCATTAAGAAATTGGCCTCTACAGCTCAGTAATGTTGTATCTTGTTTGTTTAATCCGTATCAAAGCTGAAATGTAAAAACAAAAAGTTGTGGATTTGTGTTTGTGGACTATTTCTCGGCTGGCAACCTCGCAGGGATGACAAGAGTTACTGCCTCCGGCTGTTTTCACCAAGTAATAGTTACAGTATGTGGCCCTGTCACTTTTCATCTTTACATTTAAATTTTTTTTTGTAAAGATAAAGCAACTGAGATATAACATGTTAGTGAGTCTGTTCCCTCCCGCTCTTTATACTAAGCTAAGCTGGCCACTTGTTTGACTTTAGCTTTGTATTTGGCATGCAGACATGAGAGCTGTCTCGTCCTTCTTACTCTCAAGAAAGGGCATATTTCCAAAAATGTTGTCACTACAATGAAATGTTGTATTATCTCAGAATAAAGTATTTCTGTCATTCTTTCATAAGTTTTCTTATTTCTTCATTCACATCTCCTCCAGGTACTTTCTGTGTCTCCAGCTGAGGAAGGACATTATGCTTGGTGTTCTTCCCTGTTCCTTTGTCACACTATCCTTGCTGGGCTCCTACGCAGCCCAGTCAGAGCTTGGGGAGTATGACCCAGAAGTACATGGAACAGAATATGTTAAAGACCTCAATCTGGCACCCGGACAAACCAAAGAGCTGGAGGACAAAGTGATGGAGCTGCATCGCACATACAGGTAATCAAAAGGGATGGGCATTGATTGGCGCAATATAGCAATGGCAAGTTAACACATAACTTTCATCAAGTTTGAGTAAGCACAATTCAACAGACAGAAACTGTTCAGGGCCTCTGCATCTTCAGTGCTTTGACAAGTCCTTCAAATAATCTTGACAGTAAAATATGTCCTGTAAAAGATTGCCCATCTGTGCTTCCAGGTCAATGAGTCCAGCCCAAGCAGACATGTTGTTTCTGGAAAATGCCAAGAAACTCGCCATGTATGGAGTTGACCTTCACCAAGCCAAGGTATGGTGTTTTTTTAATTATGATTTATTTATTTATTTATTTATTTTTTATTAATCTATGAATAGATGAATACTTTGTGGGTTAACTGGTGATGCAGGTTTTTCATCTAAAGTCCTCCATTCAAATATGTATTGACTTCCTTTCATTTTTAAATTGCATGTCAACATTATGCTGCAGCATGCTTGTCTTACATAAGAAGCATCCAAATTTTAATTACAAAATTGATGTCAGCCTCCTTTCAGAAAAAATTAGAGATTAATAACATTTCAAACTCCATGACCTCAAACTCCATGGCCTCCTACTGTGAGAAAGACTGCCCCCTAGTGACCGCTTACTGGAAGTGCGGGGTACTGGTGACGATGTGCAGTGATACAATGTCACATCTTTTTTTGTGTATGCAGGATCTAGATGGTGTTGACATTACACTTGGGGTTTGCTCCAGTGGTCTGATGGTTTACAAGGACAAGCTGAGGATCAACCGTTTCCCTTGGCCCAAAGTGCTTAAGATCTCTTACAAACGCAGCAGCTTCTTCATCAAGATCCGGCCATCAGAGGTAAATCTGAACTTAATTTTGACATTTTGTTTTTTGTAAATATCTTGTCTTTCTACCTCATCCAGACTCCATCTTGCATCCACTGACATTTAGTCCTCAGTCTTAACTCACTTATTTTACCCCTCTTGGAATGGTTTGAAGAATTTACTTCTACTAATTACCTAAAGATTACTGTTGGATTTGCTCATGAATGGTCTTTCAAATTTGACAAGATTTAAAGTTTGTTCATTCAACCCAACTCTGGTTTATTCATTATGTTTTCATGCTGCATGGCAGAATAATGTCGTCAACATAAGATCATTGTATTCAGCTTTGACCTTATATTTGTTTCTTCACCTACAGCAAGAGCAGTATGAAAGCACAATTGGCTTCAAACTGCCCAACTACAAAGCCTCAAAGAAGCTGTGGAAAGTTTGTGTTGAACACCATACCTTCTTCAGGTAAGAGCAGGTGATTCTCGCCTCATTCTGAATGACACTACCCTGCCTGGCAACAGAGGTCATTCTCAGGTTCTGCCTATCCCCTAGATAATTGGCTAACAGGTCTCTGAAGCTTAATCCCTACACCGGCTCCTTGGCAGTGTAACCACAGAGGAAGCTACATACCCATGAATTTCTCCAAGGGGATAAATAAAGTATCTATCTATCTATCTAGTCCTGAGCTTAGAAGTAAACCCAAAAAATTTTGTCTTTTTAATAAGATCAAGGTCAAACTTGTTGCTAACCTTTTTACACAACTATGCCAATTTGTAGGGAATGCAAAATCTTGTGATGTGATATTAATATAATTTATATTTGCACCCCAGGTGTGTGGGTCTGTCACTTTGATCAGAAAGTCAAATTGATTAAATGTTGGGTGGATGAAAATGAAATTACTATAACTGTCCCTCAGGGTTTCGACAGTGGAGCCCCCCTCATCACGTCGCTTCCTCGTCTTGGGCTCAAAGTTCCGGTACAGCGGGCGTACTCAGGCCCAGACCCGCCAGGCGAGCTCCATGATTGACCGCCCAGCACCTCGCTTCACACGCTCTGCGAGCAAGAGGCTGTCCCGTAACTTAGATGGAGGTATGTGTGTGAAGTGTGTGAACCACTCTTGGTTTCACTGTATATGCATCTCATAATAAACACAACCCTCTGACTTGTTTCACTGTTGCAGCTGGAGATGACACTCTCCAGTTTCTGCAACAGCTCTCAGCATCAACCAGATCTGAGGCTGATGATTGGTCATTGATGCTGGAATCTGACAAACCTCAGCCTTCATCTGAATTCCCAGGTACCAGGAACTGTGTGGAAGTGCGCCGGCGCTTTTTGGCACATTTGCTGCATTTATTTTATTCTTGCTCACAAACATCCTTATCGCATCAATTAACATTCCTGTCCTTTCTGGATCATTTGCTTTCATGCCCGTAAACCTTTGAAGACATTAACCCTCAGCTTTAGCACGAATGGTTTAGTTGTCAGGAAGGTGACCTAATCTGACATGCGGATGATGACACCCAGCTTGTACTTTCCCTGGCATGATCCCAGGGTATCTTTGGACTGTGAACTCTACAGGAAAAAAAAGAGTTTCCTCAAATGTTTTACTGCACAGAGGCATTTCCAGTCTTGAAGCTACTGTTCCTCTTTTTTTTTGGCATTTTCAGAAGTTGCTGCTTGATGTGTGTTGCACAACAACTACTTGCATTTGCTTCTGGCTTGTATCTTTATGTTCAACATCATAACTGACTGACTCACTCATTACAACTCCAGTGGCTGTCATTTAAACAGGATAAAGTTGGAACTGTAAACGCTCAACATTTATGGCCAGTTTTTTTTTTTTATCTGTTCTTGTTCTGAAGAATGAGAGGCATCTTTCATTCAGCTTTGTACTAACCATAGTCAAAAACACGCTTGAAGCACTGTGAAACATTCACAGCGGCCGTCATCTCCCAAGCAAAACTTCACATAACTGGTATCACCTCGTCATCTCTTCACAGCCAGAGGGGAGTCCAAGCAGACTTTCACTCAGTCATGGGAGGAGGGGCAGTCTGTTCAGACGGTCACAGTGACCTGGCAGGACACTGAGACCGAGCAGAATGGCTCTCAAACCATCACCCAGACAGTCAGTCAGCCATGGCAGGAGCTGGCATCTGATGAGCAGCAGCAGTGGAGAAAGCAAGACGAGTGGTCTGCCCTGTTGTATCGCCATCCTCCTTTTCCCTTTATCCCACCCTTTGATTTCGTGAAACAGCCAGGTATCTTCACGCATCTGCCACTATATGTATGCTGCATTATTCCCCAAGGCTTTCATATAAACCACACATGTAGCGCTGTTCTGCCTTTTATTTTCAGCTGTTTGCAGTTTGAGATTTGGTTGTTTTTTTTCTCATTTGCTGTGAAAGTGCTGAGTATTGCCTCTCTGATTTTTGTCAGCTGAGCTCAGCTTGACAGAAATGAACTCTATGGACAGGCTCTTGCAACCGCTGCTGAAGCAGCAAGATGATTGGTTCCTATATTTTGACCGAATCTTCACCCGGTCTTCGCTTGAGAGTGTTGAAAAACCATGTGAGTTTCTTTGTGTGGAAGTATGACAAACATTTATGGAATTCAAATGCTGTTAGTAAAATATGGTAACAGCCTGCATTATGAACCAAATTTTGGTTTGTTTCATGTCTCAACCCTGCTCCTCCCAGTCTCTCCCCTAGCTCAGCTCCAGCTCCAGGAGAAGGAAGAACAGGAACTGACCACAGAGGAGGTCATTGACAGGCTTCAGGAATCAGTGACCTTGGTAGACAAGCTGATAGAGGCGGAGGTTTTGGAAAGGAGACTGAGGGAAGTGAGGGATTTGGAGGAAAGGCTTCAAGAAATGGATGAGGTGGCAGAAAGACTTCAAGAAGTGATAGAGGATGAATTGGGGAAGGAGGAAGTAGACAAGTTAAGAGAAGAAGAAGAACGAGAATTGGAGAGGGAAAAACAAATGCACATGGAAGGTAGAACAGTAAGAGTGGGGAAGAAATTTGTGAGGATGATAGAAACAAAAGAGGAGGATGAAGTGGATGAACTGGAAGAGCAAATAAAGCAGGTGTTTTTAAAAGGCTTGTTGCCTGAGGAGGAAGAGGTTGAGGTGAAGCAGGAGAGTGAAAAAGAGGTGACAGCCGAGACTCTGTTAGATGATAGTTTGAGAGAGAAACTATGCCAGATAGAAAAGGAATGGCAAAATGAGGTAGAGGAAAAGCTTGGCTCTCCAGAAATCGCTGGCACCACTTCTATAGTTACAGTTCAGAGGGTTGAGCGTAGGACTAAGAAGAGAGTGACTATTGTAGATGAGAGAGGGCAACAACTGGGAGATGTAGACGACATGCAGGAACAGGCTGATGTTATATCAGACGAGAGGTTAGAAAAACAAGAGATTTGGCGTAAGACGGATGTACTGGTAGAGAGAACTCTGAGAGAGGTCACAAAGGAGCTTCAGGCTGAGGGTCAGTCTCAGGTGGAAGATAAAGATGTCTGGTTCATAGTTTTTGACCGGCCTCCATACAAAGCTGTTTCCAAACCACCAGGTACAGTATGTCATTGTGCAAACAGCTTTAGACCACTACTAATCTCTATAATATTTTAATATCACTACAATTTCCCTTTTTTGGTCCATCTGTCCATAAAATCCTCTTTAGATTCAATAAACATCATCTGAAGTTAAAGGAGAATTCAACAGGCTCGTTCCTGTCTTATTGTGATTGCTCTTCACTTTTGCTTATAAATAGAATGTTACATTTATGAAAGGGCTGTCAGTGCTGGGTGTAGTTTTGGGTTACATTCAAGTGAACCCAGTGTAGTGGAAGTAATGACAGTAAAGCTGACATAAAACATTTGGTGTATTATAGATGTGCTAATGGGGCAAAAGTGGGAAAATATGGATATCAAAGGCTCAGAAATGGCTACAGCCTTCATTTACTCAAGTATGCAGAGAGTTTAAACAATAAAACAAACATTACTAACATATTAACCAACTAGGTTTTTCTTCTTTTCTTGGTATTGTTATTGTGATAGCTGCTACAATGAGGTGCTTGAGATGTTTGACTTTGAATTTGCAGTATATACGGTATACATATATATATACCTAGATGGTATAGTTGGTATAGTTTCTTGCAAGTCAGAATTCATATAAGCTTTTTATCACTGCATGTTTGCTCCCACATTGAAAGACTCTATGTCTTTACTCTCATCATTAGTTACCACTGTGGAACATGCTCAAGTGGATAAAGGCGAGTATGTCATCTCAAAGACTGAGATTACAACAGTTGAGGAGAAAACGGAGATTATAGTAGAAGAGAGAAAAATAAGAGAAGAGGAAGCCTGGCATGCACCAGAGATCCCACCACAACAGACCATCACAGAAAGAGATGATGACTGGTTTGTGTTGCTGGATGTTGTTCCCAGAGAGACATCATATGTACCACCAGGTACTGCTAAAATCCCATTGCCCCTTACATTATGCTTTGTATTGTGCTTCCTATTTGTGTTAAAACTTTTTCTGTTCGTATCAGTTATCTTGAAGGGACGAGACCAGGTGGATGCAGAAAGTTTTGTCTCTGTGATCGGAGCCCCAGCAGTTCAGGAGATTAGAGAAATAATTGTTGAAGAGAGAAAGATAATAGAAGAGGCACCAAGACGTCCACAAGAGATCCCACTACAGCCAGTGATAGACAGAGATGATGACTGGTTTGTGTTGCTGGATGTTGTTCCCAGAAAGACATCATATGTACCACCAGGTACTGCTAAAATACCCTTGCGCCTTACATTAAGCTTTGTATTGTGCTTGCTACTTGTGTTAAAACTGTTTCTGTTCATATCAGTTATCTTGAAGGTACGAGACCAGGTGGAGGCAGAAAGTGTTGTCTCTGTGGTTGGATCTGCAGTATATGAGGAGATTAGAGAAGTAGTTGTTGAAGAGAGAAAGATAATACAGGAGGCACCAAGACGTCCACAAGAAATCCCTCTACAGCCAGTGACAGACAGAGATGATGACTGGTTTGTGTTGCTGGATGTTGTTCCTGGAGAGACATCCTATGTACCACCAGGTATTGCTAAAATCCCATTGCGCCTTACATTATGCTTTGTATTGTGCTTCCTATCTGTGTTAAAACTTTTTCTGTTCATATCAGTTATCTTGAAGGGACGAGACCAGGTGCATGCAGAAAGTTTTGTCTCTGTGATTGGAGCCCCAGCAGTTCAGGAGATTAGAGAAATAATTGTTGAAGAGAGAAAGATAATACAAGAGGCACCAAGACGTTCACAAGAGATCCCACTACAGCAAGTGATGGATAGAGATGATGACTGGTTTGTGTTGCTGGATGTTGTTCCCAGAGAGACATCATATGTACCACCAGGTATTGCTGAAATCCCCTGCACTGCTTTGCAGCTTTATAAAAGCAAGCAATCATTCTGAGCTTTGCAGAGGTTATACTTATTCTTAAAAAAGAGAGTACTGTCTGAGGATTTTTATCTCTTTTGTCATAGTTGCTGTCGTGGAGCGTGTTCAAGTGTCACCAGAAGAATTTGTCTCTGTGATTCAAGTAGCAACCACTGAGCAGAGGGAAAAAAGAGTGGAGGTTGTAGTTGAAGACGCAGAAATAAAACAAAAGCTGAGTGAAAAGCGAGAAGTAGCATTGCCACAGGCTGTGAGAGAAATAGAAGATGACTGGTTTATGCTTTTGGATCGTCCCATTAGAGAACCATCATTTGTGCCACCAGGTATTGCCAACTTTCTCTTATGCTCCTCCTCAGTCCCTCCATATGGACTTAAATGCTCAATTTGTCACCTCTTTGGCTTAAGTATCTCACAGTGCTCCTTCATTCTCTTTGTCATTAGTTACCATGGCCGAGTATGTTCAGGTTTATCGTGAAGAAAGCATTTCTGCTGTGCCTGAAACAATAGCTATGCAGTCCAAGAAGGAGGTTGTAGTTGAAGTGACTGTGGTGCAGAAGGAAGAAAAGAAGCTTCCCGTGCAAATTATTCCAGAGATGAAAATATCCCAGCCTGTGAGAGAGAGAGATGACGACTGGTTTCTGCTGCTGGATGTTGTTCCCAGAGAAACTTCATATGTGGCTCCAGGTACACACAGCCTTCAAATGCTTTTCTTTTCACACATATTGCACCAAAGGAGACTTACAAATGAATGGCGCATCAAGCTACCAGATGACTCACGTTAACTTGCATGGATGCACTTTTACTGAAGGAAGGCTCCAAAAAGTGCATGGATGCTAGCTAACCTGAATCACCTGGTAGGGCGATTCCACAGTCCCATAACAACCCCATCCCCTCGCTTTTTTCCCGACACAATCTCATGCATGGCCTCACTGGAATCCAATTGACTGAGAATCCCTGAAGCTATCCAGAAATGATTTCTATTTTACAGTTATAAGGCTTCTGTCAGATTCTGTGTGGCTGGAGCAAAAGTTTAAATTCTGTTTGTTTTCAGTCTCTCTGACAGTGCCCAGCCAAATTTATCCAAGTGTTGAACGTCAAATTGAAGTGAAAAGCATAGAGAGGAAGTCGCAACAGATTGCTCTTGACCAGATTACACCACAGCCTTCCCATCCACTACCAGAGAGAGATGATGACTGGTTTGTGTTGTTTGATGCTATTCGTGAAGAAGCAGTCATACTACCATCAGGTATTCACATAATGTATTTTTGCAACCCCGTCACTGTGAAACATTATATTTTATGACATTTACTCTGCAAATTGTTGCATTTCAGCAGCTTCTAACTAGCTTCTAAACATTGTGCAGTACTAGGGTTACTCAGTTCCTTTGACTCTGTCTGTTTGTACCAGTTGCCCCTGTTGAGATAATTCGGGATATGAGGAAGACGTTTGAGGTTGAGGTGACAAGCACAGAGACTAGAACATGGAAGAAGACGATAATTGGTGTGGACAGAAGGCAAGATGAGACACGTTTTTCTGAAATGAGACAAATCCAAATTGCACCTCCGTCAGAGAGAGAAGGAGGGGATGACTGGTTCATCCTGTTCGACATCATCCGAGAAAAACCTGTTATCACACGATCAGGTACCTCATGTTGCCAAAGCATCTGTATACACTGTGCTAAAAGGCCAGACCTAACTCCATCAAAAAATACACAATTATATAAATTTGCATCTGATTTATTTACCTTTATGTAAAGAAAATGGTGGAAATGGTGGAAAATAAATGGTTTATTCTTGTATATTTGTAATGTAAATGATTTAGTTTGTATGCATACAAACATGTCTATTTTAGTATGTTTTGCAATGCACAGTTATTCTTTGACATTTGATCTGCCCTCTTATGAGTGCACCTGCTGTGTCTCAACACTATAGGTAGCCATTTCATTTGTAATTTGCAGTAAGCACAGTACAGTACAGTGCAGTAAATCATTTGTACTTTATTTCGACAACTATACCTGATTGTATTTTTGTATTAGTTGCTGTCCCTCAACGTATCCAGTTCCCACCAGAGGTCAGAGTTCCAACTGCCATGGATAAAACAAGGATTACTATTTCCGAAACAAGACCGCTGTTTGAGAAACGGATCCTGGAGGAAAGACGTCCACTCACACACACACATGTCAATGATGATTGGTTTGTTCTACTAGATGTTGGCCTCAAAGAGTCAGGTATTTTTATTTGACCTATTTTGATTTGTAGTTTTGCGGATGATCAGCTCACACATGGTCGCGCTTTCTTTGCTCCATGAAACGCTTATTAACATTCACAGCCTGCTTACAGGACGCATGGTCCACAGTTGGCAGTGCACATTCACTGTTATTCAAGGACCTCTAACCGTGCTATGTTTTGCAGAGTGATGAAATAATGTCTTCTTAATCTCAGCGTTTCACCAGTTCACCTTCATTGAGCTTTTTAGCTCTTTGCAGCCTAACATCATCTGCCTTTGCATCCATCATTGGATCATAACAAGAACTAAACTGCGCTTTTGCTCTTTGTGAACATTCGCTTCTGGCCCGCCTCTGGTTCTGAAAACATGCTCGTCCTTTATAAAAGGGAGTCAACAAAGAATTTAAGGTACAGTATACCCCTGCAGTGTGCGCATGTACCTCATCATAGAGGCTTGAGAGTGTAAGTATGAGGATCTTTGCATAGATGCGCTATTGTGTGTTTCTGTATTTGTATGTTTGTACCTGTTTCAATGTGCATTGTACTCTCTGAGAAGATTTGATCATGTTGAATGTGAATAGAATCTTATCTTAAATCAATCTTAATAATAATCCCTTCGTAACACATTGTGCTAAAACATATTTCCATTTATTCACATTTCCATTTGGTCTCTATTGTATCCAGTGGTGAGCACACAGAGGGGCACCCGTCCTGTCAGTGCTCCGGTCTTCTCCCAGGCTGCTCTGGCTGAGGCAGGAATCCCCATGGCCCCTTTCGACCAGCCCCAGACCTCCACTCCAATCAAGACCATCCGCCAGGAGGAAAGAAAGCTCGAAGTCACGGTAGAAGCTGTGGAGCCCTCAAAGATCGAGGCTGCGTCTGAAGTCAAGGTATTCAATTTCTGTGATCACTGTTTTTCACGTTGGTGATGTCATTTTAGCAGAAGTCTTAAAGTTTATTTGTAGGATAAAAAGTTAGCATCACATACTGTATGTATGTAAACCATGTATGTCTAACAGGACACTGGTGGCAGTGAGAGATGAACAAATTATTTATGATATGTCCTCATAGGTACTATGATTGTAGATAATACTTTAGCAACTTTTTTATTGTAGATACTTGTTAGTCTTAAATAATGAAAGATGCTAGCAAGCAGAGATTGTTCTCTGTGTTTGAGTGTGAACTGTGTCTCTCTTGCTGCTGTAGCCAGCAGTGTGGAGGGACCAGGGAGCAATAGACTCTTCACTGCTATCTACCATCAATGGGGACATCCAGGTTAGTGTCAGACACTGGCCTCTTGCATGTCATCCCATAGAAGATATGTTTCCACTATGGCTGATGTCTTGAGTGTTACAGCCAACAAAAGCAGGGAATCTTAACATGTGTTCCTTTCTCCTCCCTGGGGTAGCACGGGTCTGAGGTGACAAGCACGGAGGTGGTGCGAATGCGAAAGGTCAGATTCTGAGCCACGTATATGTTTCCGTAGCCATTTCTCCACCTCCATTCTGATGATATCAAGCTTCTCATCCAAAAGACTAATTTCACCCTCTTCTCATGTTGTGCTTCCATACGGCTAGGTCTTAAATGAAAACCACATCAGGTTCGATTCACGTACAATATATTTAAAGAGGTAGAAAAATGCACAAATAGATAGAATATGTTAACAGTGAGTAACCGTAACTTTAATATGAAGAGATCATGCTTGTCTAAAAGTATGTTTTACACATATAAACTGCTTAAAAGTTAAGAAGGCATTCATTTCTTCTCATTGCTTGTTGTTGTCATAAACCCTGGAATGTACACATGCATGATTATAGCTTAAATGCACTTTACTAAAAAGGGGCATGATAAATGGTGTTTTATCACATTTCTGTCTTTCCACCATTCTTTATTTCTTTGCTCATTATAAAAAGTTTCATCTTAAATCAGTCCTCTAGAACCTTAAGTTCTTTGCTTTGTAAGTACATTACAGTTTGGCCCCTATGGCCACTTGTCCCCAAACTGTTTTGCATGCAGACTCCTCACAACTCCTCTTGTCTGTTGTATTAACACTTTAGTAAACTTCATTGTATGCATGTCCGAGGTATGGCAGTTTGATGCCAGCTTACAGAGAAACTGAAACAAACCCACACTTTTTTGTTCTTTTCATTTTTCACAGAAAAGAGCTAAGAAAATTGAGGATGACTCAATTTATATCAGACATAGCCTTTTAATGTTGGAGGTTTGTATCCCTTCTGGAGATGCCAGTCTTTGGCTGTATTTTCTTGCTCTTTGGCACACTGGCTGCTTTTTTGATATCACGCTTGCATGTGGCATGATTCACACTTTTTGCATCAGCTGTTAATGATTGGCTGTAGATTACATGATAAATGTGTGTAGATGTGTTGCAACATAATTCTAATCCGGTTGTATCAGGAGAGTGCTGTTGAGTTTACAACAATTAAGTATTGGGTTATGGTCAGGGTTCTTATGCTTGCATAAACTTGTTAAGGATGCTGCACTCCTTAGCGTCCTTAAACTGTCCCCAATGACCAGCCCTGGGATGTGGTCGATTATCAAAGGTCTAATCACAGACAGCGAGAGCTTTTCTAAGTTTTAGTTTCTTAAGCCAGGATTCACAAGCTGCTCCATTTGTATATATATATTTTTTTTCCAGATCATCAGTATTCTCCTGTTCCTGCTTCTGCTTTTTGTACCTCCATCTCACTTTCTAACTTGCCAGTAATGCATTGCACTTTCTCAGCAATTATGCCAATGAAATCTTTTGACCATAGAAATGAAAATCAAAATAATTATACATTTTTGCTGTTATGTATGAAAGGAATGATGCTTGGAGAAACACTTATCATTAAGTTGCTCTTAAGTACCACAATAAGTCATGATTGATAGCTAACAAAGACTTCTGGTCATGAACTAGAACAACCGTCTGCAGTATGTTTGGTGGGATTGCTGTCAATATCTAGCAGTGGTCCATAAAGATCAACTTAATGATAAATGTTGCCAAATCCGTAATGCTACTGTTGCTTTTGTTCATTTGTGTTAAATGAACAGGTTTCCATTTATACCGAGGCTTCATCTCTGACGACTTGTACCATGTCTGCTATCCTCACCTTTCCTGCTCGTTGATTTGCAGCCTGTTTTCACAATGTGTTTCACTGCAAGCCTAATGCTATGAAATAGACCCTTAATGTGCTGTGTTGTGTAGTTAATAGCTTCTACCCAACCAGAACACCAAGTAATAATCGACTTTGATACATCATAGCACAGCCTCCTCTGAACCTTTCCTTTAATCAGCTGAGAGACTTAATTTACATTTTGAAAAGGAGCCGCTGATAATCTAAATAACTCCGCATAATATGATTATCTAGATTAATTGGCCCTTCTAATTTATGTTTCTTTAGAATCACTAATTAACCTTGCTTCTGCTTATTTATTTAATCAGTAATAAGTCAACAGAAATTGTACAGAAGAAACAGAAACGATACATAATCTGACTCTTTTTTTCCCTTTTTCTTTATTCTCTCCTGTTTGTTAATCTCTCCCTCTCTCCCAACTACGAACATATCCTTCATCTCTTTCCCTCCCCATCCAACTTTCACTACCTAACCTCACAACATCCCTTTGTTGTTTCCATGCTCCACTTGTCTCTCTGTCAAATTTCCTGTCCTATCCTCTTCCTACACCCCACTACCCTCTCCTCCATGTAGGAGTTCAATAAGCCTCAGGAGGACCTGCTCAGGCATCATGCCAGTATCAGTAAGCTGAAGAAGAACTTCATGGAAGCCGTCCCGGAGCCTAGGCCCAGTGAGTGGGACAAGCGCCTGTCCACACACTCTCCGTTCCGCACCCTGGGTATCAATGGTCAGCCTCTGCCCAGTGCGGATGGGGTAAGTCCTTCACAAAAAAAAACCTCAGTTGCCAAATACTCTATTTTAGCTGCAGTCTGTCAGTTCGGGAATTGAAGGAAATTGTGCAAATATATTAATTTTCAAATGAATTAACTGTTTAAGATTATCAGTTCCTGAACTAACCTGGTTGAAGTTGCATAAGTTTTCCATGGTTCTGCGTCTTCAGAGATGATTGTACTTGATTGGAAAACATCACTGCACATGCGAGCATTGTGCATGGATTTGTAATGGGATAGAAATTCTAGCTAACATCTTATCATGTTTGAGTAATTTTTAAGTTTGTGTAATTTTAATCATTGAACATTAAGATTCTATTCTTTTTTTTTACATGATGAATATATTCAATCAAAAGACACTGATACAGACGAGATCAGGCTCTTCTAGTTGTCATTCTTGGTCCCCTGATAGAGAATAATGGATTATGTGTGCATGTACAGACCTATTCAAGAGAATAGCATGTGGTATGTAACACATGCATGTGAATGAAGAATGCAGTCTGACTTGTTGAATAGGGTCTTGTACTTTTGTTCTTTCACAGACTGATGTGGATGAGGCAGTTTGGGTCACGTTTAATACTCTGAGCGCTCACTTTAGTTCATCTTACCTGAAGTAAAGGACTCTGAACCCTGACACGTTGGTGTTGCATGACTGACAGACCGGACTTTGAAAATGTACTGCATGACTCAGAGATGACCACTCTCTTGAATATTTGCACGTTCTGACACTGAACAGAATTTACTTTTCCCCCTCTCCTCTGTCCTTCCTTCATTGTTGAGCTTTCTTTCTGCATTTTATACTTTTTACTTTGCACACTTTCTTTTCAAGCTGCTTTCACCTTTTGTTTTGGCTGCTGCTTTCTCCAAGCCTTGGTTGTTTTTCCATGAAGAGACAAGGCCTCATTCACAGTTGTATCAGCAGTTTTCCCTCCACTCTCCCTATAGTAAATGGTAATAAGGATTCCATTATGAATGTAATGTAATTGTACTATTACTGGCATTAATAGTTGTCTTGCAGTTAAAATAATTGCATGAAAGCTTTTAAGAGGACCAGAAACACAACACCAATCTAGTTGAGCTGTTTTCACATGAATAAAAAAGTGTAATCTATTGAGGTTCATTTTGTTAGCAAGACATTAATTCAAGTGCATTATCATTGCTTGGACATAAACCACTTTATTACTTGGAGATTAATCCCCCCCAAGTGTATCATATTGTCAGGATGCATTAGAGTTGCGATGAAATCAAAGTAAAGCAAACCTGACAATTTACAGCCTGCAGTGAGGAAATGAATCAGAGCAAACGTACAGTGTTTGATGGAAGCTGTTGAGAATATGGCAATGGTCAAATATTGTCTGCCTAGTGGAGTAGACAGACAAGCATTGTTTATGCTCAGTCTGTTGTTCTGCTTAACTTTCAATGAGTAAATGTGAATTATAGAACTAAGACTAAGACTCCTACTGCGAGGAAGGTAAATAATATTACAGGCAGCAGCAGAATTGGTCCCACTAGAGCTACTTGGCTAAAATGGTGGGGGTAATTAATATACACTGCAGTTGGTTGTATAGATACTACAGGCTTATGTTTTTCAGACACATCACCACACAGGGCATCTGCACCAATTTAACATCCTCAGATGAGATGCCTGTGCTCATTCTGGCTAGACTGATTCAGTTGAATGTAGCCTCTCTCAAAAACTATAAAATACTTTGATCATTACAAGTGTGGATGACTTTCTGTCTTTTCAGTCTTAAGTGGAATGTAGGACATGGAAATAAATCTTTAAAAAATGCATGTTAAAATGCATGTGCCGATAACATTTCCATGCTCTGGGCAGCAAGCGTTGCTATTAAATCACATTTCTGTTAAAATAAATACTTCTGGTATTGTTGTTAGATCATGAATTTATATTCTAAAGAAACTATTATTGCCCAGCTCTGGCTTTTACACTGTCGGTCATTGCAGACATTTCAAAATTCCTCCCTCTCATCTCTCTTCCCTCCTCCTCCTCCTCCTCCCCCCTCCCTCAGTTTGTCATCCGCCTACCGCGCGGCCCCCTGCTAGACTTCTACTCCAAACGCAGCTGAGGGGCCGTCTCGACCCTGCGGAAACCCCACACAGGTGTGAGTGTGAGCCGTGGAGACCGCACCTAGCCCATCTACCCATCAACCTCTAGCTTTCTCTTCTCCTCCTCCTCCTCCTTCCTTCGCCTCCTCTGCAACATCACTGTAGCATTTTTCATCTCTCATCCTCTGCTCCACTTGAGAAGCTGCCCCCTGTTTTTTTTTTTTTCTGGCCTCTGAGGAAAAAGACTTTCATTCCTTCTATTTCCCACTGCAGCACAATTCCCCTGGTTTCTCCAGTCAGAAACAGACTCCAAAGACTGATAAGGACTGAAATGACAATCAACCCACTACCCTTTTGCATTTTCCGTGAAATTGTTTGGATTTTAAAGATACAAACCAATCAACCAGTATGACCTAAGAACTGACTTTTATCTGTTTTTTTTAATGTGTGACCATATCACTTTGAGCCTGCTTTTTTTTTTACACATTTTGAGGTGCATTTATATTGTCAGTTGTCTTAGGATATTGTATTGAGATGAGCTGATCACTGTGATGTTTTTGGAACATATATATACACCTTTTTTCCAGAACACACATGAAGTAAGCATCAGAAAACATGAATCAAAGACTTGGATTTTACTCTGGTTACTTAGTCTTTGTCACAGTATAGTGTTTCCTGTGATCGGAGACCTTGAGGCAGCTTAATTGTAATACTTATTAACCTCTTTGTCCTTCACCAGTGTTTTGCGAGGCAGGATGTAGCAACTTCAAGAGATTTCTTGTTGCATGACTTTTTGACAATCAACTTTGACCAGAGAATAAAAGGCATTCCTTATACAGTACAAATGACTAGTGTAGATTTTGTCGTTTAAAATTTCAGATTCTCTTTGAGTTCAAGTATATTGTGTGTAAGTCCATGGCTGTACTGATAGTGTATGTCATTTTTGTCATCACTCCCTCTTGAATGAAGATTTAAACAAAAGGAAAATCCATTTCATTCTGACACACATTAAATTATATTCCCTGATGAAATATACAGTACGCAACTAAACCTGTATTCAGTATCCATTTTATTTGGTCACCTACTGTAGCATGTGTCGTGTGGAAAAGCGTGGATTTGGCCATTGTGATGCCTGCAATATGTTTTCTTAAGCTGTGGCACTAAAACAGTGTTGATTAGACCACCACCGTTTTCCTGTACATGTGTAGTGCCTCACAAAATGGATACTGTGTGTACATCATCTATTGATAGTTGCATATTTTTTAACTTGCATGCATACATGTTTATAATCTTTGTAAATTTGGCTTGTTATGCTAGCCATGTCAGTAGGAAATACTTCACCTACCCATGATCACATAGTGACTATGTTTTGTCTTTTTTAGAGTATGTGCATTAGTTCCCTAAGCAATGGTTCAGAGACAAAGGCTACACATGAGGAAACCAGCAGCAGTTTGGGCTTGTCAGGCACACCCAGGCCCACTGCGTGCCACAAGAGTGAGACTGATAGTGTCGAAGCCCACGGTGGTCCTATTGAGGAAGAGTCATGTGATCAAGACGAGGTTGTAGTTTTTGAGACCTCCTTGGTGCCCATCGTAGAGGTGGAGATGGCGCAGTTGCCTCCCTCCCTCGAACCCCACTGTAAGGCTTTAGATGAGACCCAGGAGGAAGAAGGATCATATCCCGGTGTGTCGGAGTGCTCTAGGAGGATAGTCGGATCTTCCCCAGCCTCCTATTTCAGGAGCGATGGTCCACAGGTCATACGCTGCTTCCAGGTAGCCTGCTGACTCCCTCAGGGTGATGCTGATTCTGTCTCTGCTTGGCCTCTGTATCATTTCAAGCCTGCCACACTTGCTCACTCCTTTGCAGCAACATTCAATTAACGTTAAATCTGTAAAGGGAGTAGTGCGGTGTGAATTATGCTCGCCATAGTCAAATGTATCAGATTGCTGCAGATGTGTTGCACAGTGGTGTGCTAAGTTCTCAACTATGGTGATGGGTCGTTTTAACACTAGCACATTCTTCTCTGCCACAAAATGTTTCTGAGGTATTGACTTTACTTTCATCATCTTTCCAACCCACTTATGGCTTCATATTTTCCGTTTCTGTTTCTATTCTGTAATAGTTGGTGGTGGGAAGGGGATTAACAAGGTTGTTGCTTCCAAAAATCTTAATGGAAACAAATTTGGTGAGAAGAAAGGGCTGTTGCGGTGAAAATCGATCCACACAGCAAAGGCTTAGAAGGGAATGCATGGGGGTCAAATAAAATGGTTGCCATGAGATTCGAAGTGTCTGGTTAAACAGCCACTCATGGGGCTATGCTCCCATCCACAGCCCCCTCTGGTGCAGACCCAGACAGTCACCATCACAGCTGTCTCCAACTCCTTACAGACTGACATCTCCACCACAGAAGTCCCTATCGTGCCGACCAAGACCTTCACCTATGAGTCTTCAAAGGTAGGAGCTCCAGCACCTGCTCAGCCCAGATCTGTCTCAGCTTTATTGCATGGATAGCCGCACAAGCTGACTATATGCAGGTCTGGGAGGACCAGGCCAGGGGCTCCAAAAAGAGCATGAGGCAGCACAGCCCCTTCCCTGGCTTGAAGCTCAGGGTCACAAAATGTAAAACCATTATTCAGTCTACCTTTCCTTTGGTGTTTTTCTCAGGTGACAGTTGATGGGACAGACGAGGACAAAGATGGCACAACTGTGTCCAGCTCCAAGACCGTTACCTCAGAGACCACGAGTGGCACCACAGTCACCACCACTACCACTCACATCTCAAAGGTCAGCAGGACAAATCCTGCTCTTGCCTTTTCAGTTTTATATTTTATTTTATTTGGCACTCAGTTATATTTTTTCTTCCCTCTACCAGGTAGTGAAAAGTGGATCTTCAGAGACTCGTGTGGAGAAGAGGATTGTCATAACTGCAGACTCTGACATTGACCAAGATAAGGTATAAACGTCTGCCCATGACACAAAACAGTACTGGAAAAAAATATATACTGGACAAAATATACAAGCTAAGTATATAGATCTCAATGTTCTCATCGAACTCTTGGCAAGAAAGTGTATTTCCCAAAGTGGTTAACTATTCCAGTAAGAACCATTTAATGAAGATGATGATAATAACTGATTCAAGCAAATACAATTACACATAATGTCTTTCTTGCAGGAAAAACATGGTGGAGCATCAGCATTGTAACTGAATCATCACCTTCGTTTATTTCCTTGACTCTACACCTCCGACATCAATTTCATCAGAGCGCAGCAATCAACACACACTGACCAGCTCTATCTACACACACGTATCCAAGAAGAAATATCTCATAAATCAGCACCTACAGTTATTGATGAACTGAGTAGATAAATGTTAGGAGATCTTCATTTTATTTTTTTTATTTTTTCAGTTGAGCTGTTCATTGTAGGTAGAGGAGGGCTGCACAGATCTCAAGTTTTGATTAAATGCTTATCTCATTCTGGTGTTTGAAAAGCTTAGCGGATACATTTTTATTGGTTAAAAAACAGCATTTTCAGTTGAGTGATCTCAGTTATGTTTGCTTTTGAATGCTTTTATTTTCCTAGGTTTTTACATTGTTAATTTTATACAAATGCACTGTTTCCATTCTAGTTTAGACACCATTATCAGCATTTATTCCCTTGGTGCTGCTAGGGGAACGTTAAGACACATTCAAGGGAACGCTTATTTTTGTTGTTGTTTACTTGTCTATTTAATTCAGGAGAGACATTTTTTTTTTAATGTAATGACATACCTCACATCAATATGTGAACAAAGATATTCTGTGCTCAAATTTGGACAGTTTGTTTGGCTTTGTTCACTGCTCAGGTACAAAAACAAAAAACCTAAAATCTTTTCTTCCCCAACCAGCCAAGAACCGGTAGCCTACACATTATTGTAAAGTTTGAATTAAAAATTGATCTATTTTGAAATATTTCTCTATTTTATAGAATTAATGCTTTTATAGTATTTGTACAAATTGAGGTTTTTAAGTTATTCATATCCACCTGCTCATGAAATTGTAGGTTACCATTGTGCTGTGAACTGAATTTCGAGGTCTCTCTTTTAGACCTCCTTACCTGTCTTGCCTGACACCCTGAATCATTCTTATTCGTTTCCTCTTGTAGTCCACCAAGTTTATCAAACCTTTCACAATTTACATATGACAATGGAGTGCTTCCTTCAGCCCTATGTTTTATTCAGTAGAATAGAAGCCATAATTGCTTTGAATATATTTGGTTGATAAGAAACGTTTTACAAGCTTTGGTCTGTTTATCTCAGGTTTTGATATTCTTTTTAAGACTACAGACCTCCATATGATTGTATGAGGAATGTCCATATATGTATATCCATCCTACTTTAAATGTACGTTTATGTTCAGCCAAGTGAGGTCGATTAATGTAAAAGCTCGTCTGTCACAGTAACCACTCGTGTAAGAGGTGAAGGCAGCTGTCCCAGTATATGTGGCTTTTCTCTCATAGGAGCACAAGTTGTCTTTTTTACATGTTCTACTATACAGTAATTTATTTGTAAAGTAGGGAATGTTTCATGTGATTTGATGTACTGTGATGTTTCAACACAAGCTGGTTTCCAGGCTTCCACTAAAGATGTCACAATGTTAAATATTGCATTCATTATCAACCAAGTTTGTAAAGCCTTTTTACCATATAGTCTAAGTAGATTGCTTTCTCACTTGCTGTTTATCCCTGTACCTTTCCATAGAGAAGAAAATACTTTAAATATATGATCCCCTTTTAGATAGCATGTTTGTTAGCAAACTCTTTAACCCAAAAAGAAGCCATTGGTATTTTAGCTACATGGATGACAACAGCAAACTCCCCTGGAAGAAAACGTAGAATTCCACATGAAGAAAAATAGGTTTTAGACGATGGAAAATATTGTTGCTTTGTGACTTATCCCTGTCTTTTTATGAAAAAATAAAATATGCATTATTTTGCATTTTGGTGCGCAGTGTATATGTGAAGCATACACGAATGAGATTTTCATAAGAAATAAATATTTAATGCCATTCACTTGTTTCATAGTGGATGTTGCCGCATGTTCAATCAACACCAAACGTTCGAGGGGAAAAAAGTGGCTAGATTGTAATATCATAATGTAAACAAGATGAAACCTCAAATACGCAATTATCAGGAAAATATTGTTACAGTTGCCTAAACAGTCAAGCACAAACATAACCACTGAATTCAAATGAAACAGATCAGTGTAAAAAAAAAAAAAAAAAAATTAAAATTAAGAATAGTTCCATTTTAAAGATGAGCTCTTTCTTTCTGCCTCTAATTTCGTATTAACCATTTCTTGGAAATAGCACCTCATCACATTTATGAATATTGCTGTTTTCAAATAAAATCCATCACCTTAACACAATAAAATCTTATGCACATTCCAACATTTGTTCTGCAGCACAAGTTAATATGATTTGATGCAATTTAGTGTTAACTTTAAGTCGAGTATTGATTGACCATACCACTTATAAGGCAAATCTGTCAGCAGCTGGTGGCAAGATTTCCTGTTACATTCAATCACCTGCAATTGAGCCACAACACAAACTTGCCTTCATTAAAGCCACGTTTCTGTTTTAGAGAAACAACCCTAAAATATGAAAAGATCAATTGACATCAATTAAGGATCAATCAAGCGACTGAGCTTTTGGGAATAATAACATGTTCAATACAGAAAAAACTAACTTTCTCCACTGTAACATTGTTTCACTAAATGAGCGATAATGGTTGAATCTGGAGAACTGTACAGGCATTTATTGGGAATATATAATCCATCGATTCAAATAAGTAGTAAACGACAAAGTCTTTGAGTCCAGCGTCTTTGTCAAAGCAGGGTTCTAGCGAATTGTCTTGACTGGACTCTTGAAACTTGATGCAGCCTGAAGTTGAAGTTGATAAGCCATTGGATGAATCTTGAAACCATATAGCCTAAAAAAGAAAAAAAAATATGATTACCTCCTGGATACGAAGAAATTTCTTTTCAATTCCCTGAGGTCAGAGGCTGGGTATTGATTGGAATTTCTTATACTCATGCCAATACAATAACCTGAGTCTAAAATTATGATTTAGATGAGTAAATAACTTATTCAAGAAAGAGTAAAATCTGAGCAGGTGTCAAATCCCAACTTTTTTTGTACTTGGCAGTTTTATCAAGACAAACAAACCTTGGCACGAACTGGTTGGCTGGACGCTTTGGACGATACTCTGGGTGCACCATGAACAGCATGTGGGGGAACCCTGTGCCAAAATAGGCTCCATCTGTGTGGTGGTGTCTTGAAGATTTAGGGGTATAAACATCCATGCACTTGGGGCAATAAAGCTTCACCATTGCTTCCCCTGGGATGTCTGACAAACCTACATCAGACAGGAGATAAATGGTGAGGGATTTGTCTTCATAGCCACTTACAAAGTCACAGGTGCAGCACGGTTCTTGTGTTAAATGTGGAGGTTAAGAAAAGTCAGACTTACCAATAGGAAGCATTGGCTGATTCTCACAATAGACTCTGGGGCAATAGCCAAAATCCCCTTGTTGATACTTTTCCAACTACAGAAAACAACAAATTTGGAAATCACTGTTGATTCTTGTCATAGGGCATGTAAGAATTTGAAGTTATTAAGTAAACGCTTACCATCTGTGCAATGCCTCTGTTTGTGAGGATGTAACGTGCATGTATAAGCCCATAGAGCATTTCTGCTGCCTGCTCTATCAAGTCACTCTGGTTCGGGTTATCTTCAAGCTCCTCATCTGTCAATTAAAAGCAACACAGGCAGCTAAAATCACTGTCACTGCTTTACCTCATTTCACACGGCTACTTCCTTGATAGTCTCACCTGGCTCCAGGTCGAGAATCATGTCCAGGGCCTGGCGATAGTGAGGAACCTGCTCATTTAAACCTGTCAGGTTAAATTTGTCTTGTATGTAATCCTCATCAACCTGTAACACAGCAGTAGTAGACAACAAATGGCAATTAATTGCATTAATTACTGTTGCAACAGCAGATTGCCACAGCACACTGATGTGGCAGCATTATGTAAGAGTTTAACAGGATTACTTAGATGCTACCAACGAAAAAGGCAAGGAGTTAAAATTAGAGTTGGAGTGTGTGACACACTGATGCCAACACTAACAACACTATTCCTAGTATTTTTATTTCAAGTTTTTTTCCTTTCACACGTCTCCCTAGGGTACTTTATGAGTGAGCAGATTTCATGTGCTTCAGTGGAACAGATTAGCTGCAACAGGCAACTCTGAACTATAAGTGTAAAAGTAAGACCACCAAAGTGACACATGATTACGAACTAGAAGAAAACATTACTTCCATGAAACTTAGTTGCCATATCCAGGTATGTGTTAGACATTATAAGAGTGAGATGTACTGTTAGAAAGGAAGAGTAAGCCCAAGCAAGAATATTTATTTGTCATTTCAGCCACAAAGATACAGCTGAAATGAACCATTGTTTTCTCTGGACCAAGCAAAAAAAACAAAATGCATAAAAACAATTAAAGCCCATGGGTGCATCAAAAAACCTGTCTTCAACAAAATATGTTACTTTTAACTGAAAGTTTATCTTAGCACTGTGCACTAACATATAATATACACTCATAGGGCTGCAACTAACAATTAATTTTTCATTATCAATAAAATGCTGATTATTTTCTTGATCAACCACTTCATCATTTGGTGTATAAAATGTGAGAAAATCATGATAAACTGTCTCCAAATTTCTCCAAAACCCAAAGGTACAGTTGTATGCAAATGACATATTTTGTTTTCTTTTTTTTGAAGTGGAAAAAAGTAAATACAACCCCTTCAAACAGACATTTTAGAAAATTGCCTTTTTTTCAAATGTTGATACATTGTCTCTTTATATTTCATGAATTTAACTTGAAATATAATGCACTGAGTAGTCAGTACGTTTTATTAAAGCCAGCAAAGAACATTTCTGTTCTTCAATTAGGAATTTCCACCTACTTTTCACTGTACATAACTTAAAGTTCTGAGATATTTTTAGGCAATCTTGTCTAATGTTATGTTAACCCACCGGTTTTCAATGATGTTCAAGTCAAGTGACTGTGCACAATCTTCTACGTGCAACTATATACAGTTTACTATCATGCAATGTAGAGAAACGCAGTAAATCCTCCTATATGAGAAGTTGTAACCAGCAAATGTTCGACATTTCTAAACTGCTGCTAGATTATCAAAATTGCTTGTCAATAAACCTCCTATCCAGTGACAAATTGCTGCATCTCCATACACAACAAAAACCTATGTAATGTTGAAATGTAAAAATAGGTTTGTGTTGGCGGAGGTGGCTGCAAGGCGTTCGGCGGTCTGACTGCATGTGGAAGAGGCTGTTGCAAGAATCCCCTTTAATCCCAGTTTAAGAAAGAAATAATCCTGGACACTAACCTCACAGAAGAACTCATTCCCTCTCAGTCCACAGAACCAAGATATCCAGGACACCTCCTCTGAGCTGCTCATCCTCCTGACAAACCAAAACAGTGGACCAGGATTAATTTTACAGGCTCACTGGTTGGCTAAAAGCTAAGCACCGGCAGCTCAAATTCTTGCGATGTAGACTTCATAAACACAGATATAACATGTTTTCACATAATAGATGCAACAAGCTAAAACTGTTTTTTCTGGGACATTTAACAAAAATGTGATTGTACAGTCGATAATCTTCAATTTGCCTTTTGAGTTTGCGTCTCTAACCTGCTACCTACGTTAGCCCTTGATTTAAACGCTAGCTTGGTAGCAATCGTTGGTTAGCGCTAACACGTCTAACGTATAGTGGGGAGATTATTTATTGTAACTGCAACATGTATTCAGAAGAACTGTCTTTGCATATTTATAACAGTTTGCAGAAAGTCACTTTTACTCACCTTTTTTTTAAATTCGTTAACACATTAACTTGCGGGCTTTGCTGGTTTGTCCTTGCTTCCTGGATGACAAATACGTTTTCCGGTCATCCGGATTTTTCAAAATAAAGTTACTCATGACGCATATTTCATAGGCAACCGTAATGTAAGGAAATGTAGCAATGTTGATTCATATATACCCATTTTAGAAAGATACGATTTTCTATTCGCTGTATAATGGATTTTCCAACAAAGCTACAACAGTATAGAATTTCTGATTGTTTTATTATTTTGATGTTTTTGTGTGTGTTCAAATTTGAACTTATGAAATGTTTTCACCTGTATTCACCTATACATAAAACATCACAAGGCTATGTTTTGTATTTAACTAAGCAGCATGACATAACATTAAACCATGGTACAATAGCATTTACAAAGAAGTTAGTTGCCTATAATGTGGGAAATCTGTACTGCAGTCATAATCACAAAGGGCAGATGCACAAACATTTTATGCATATTCCAGTGTTTAATAAAAATAACACTTTTTACAATAAGTTTTTTTCCTTCTGACATGAATTTGGAAGCACTTTGATGATTTTTAAATCTGAAAAAAGTCATAATGACATTCATTCCAATTTAGGATGGAGAGCACTTTCAGGGCAGGTCTGAAAAGGTTTTGCGACTAGGTGGTCCAGCATCTTTCTGCTCCTGTTCCTTTCCCATGCCTTCAAACATCAAGATCCTTTAATGAAGAAAATTACATGTCAGCTGCTATACAAGACATTAGTGTAAACTTTAGACAGATTTGGACAATATCTTTACTTCTAGCAGGTACTTAAAGTACTTCTCACATTAAACCAATTTTTTTTACCAACAATTTTTTTTGCTATCAAACTTGTAATTTAATCATACAGATTTAGGCTTAAGGCCATCAACTAACCAGTAACTTCATACAAATTTATGAATTCTCAAAATTTAGCATCTACTATTTGTTTTTGTTTTGTTTTTTTTTTGTTTTTTTTTAACAATTTGGGGACTTAATCTCCCGTTAACCCTAATCCTCCTGTGACTCAACTTTAAGTCTCCATCCACTCTCTGAATTACCCAGTATTTCATACTCACAGTTTTAGTATTGCATTTCTTTTTCCCAGCATCATATTCAGGAAGTCATTGTAACTGATAGTGTCTTTTGATGTTCCTCCAACCACCTCTGACATCATCTTTTTCAGCTCTAAGTGAGTCTTGGCCAATCCGAGTTTCTCCAGCATTCGTTTTAACCCCATTATATCTATAAAAATGATAACAGCAAATTAAAAAAAAGGTCCTCATATCTATAACCTGTGAAGACATCTTTGTTGTGAGTCATTGCTGAAAGCAGCAGTTGCTCAATGTAACTAAAAATATTTCAGGGCTGTAAGACTGGTGTCGTTTTACCTATTTCTCCTTTGTCATTCAGATCAAACTCCATGTACTTTTCTGTAATACAAACAAATATAGTCTCATTCCAAAATGTATGACAGTACGGTAAATTAATAAAACAATTCACTTAATGAATGATCACCCTTTAATACTTACTTTTAAACATTTCAAGTTTTGAGGCAAGGTCTTCCTCTTCTGCATATTGGGGATCTGAGAGAAAAGCCTAGAGGAGTGATAAATACATGATAAAAAAATGTATTATACATATTTTTATTAGTATCACACTGGTGTCATGTTTTTGTGTTCCAGCCCCTGTCTGTAGCAAACACATATCTCTATTGTAACCTGATGACTTTGCCTAAAGATATCAATTATCAGTTCAACACACCTCATTGATAGAGCTCAGCTTGTCTTCCTGCTGAGACTTGAGAAAACCATATGCTTTCCCGCCTGTAAGAAACCAACACCACATTCACTGAAGTCTTACAAATTATCCATTAAAACACATACAGAAAATAATCTTAACTACACTGATTAAATTAGCTGTAAGATGATATAACAATATTAAAATGACAAATGGAGACATAGCCGAAAAAAGTCAAACTAACCTTGAAGACTGTCCATTTCTTTGCACAGTGCTGAGAGACTGTGACAAATGCACTGAGAGTGTGAAAAGTTATGATGGCGTTTCTATAAATCGAGCCAGAAGAGGAAGTGGTGTCAAAGTTTCAGTTTGTATTAGTGAAGTTCCTACGTAGTATTTAAGGTTGTAGCAAATAGAGGTCAACAGGAGGATGCAAAACATAACATTCACAGTTAGTCTGACTGTGTAATGGTCAGGGTGGGCTCATTCAAATGTATAACTACGCTCTCACACAGTATATGTAATAAGTTGAAATTTCAATTAAAGAAGGAAGAATGATGCAGCAAGTTGTTGAAGTTTTTTTGCAAACAGAAGGAAATACACATTACACTGCAGAAATGTTTAGCTTATGAGGCATGTTTGGAGAACTTTGGAGAACTTTGTAAAGTTTTTATTAGTCTGGAAAGTTTCACTGAGGGTGAGGTTCTCTTTTTCAGGAACATTCCATCTGCACTCATGCATTTACACACATTCATACCTTAAAGCAGCCCAGTACAAGCAGTCAGATCTGCTGACCACTTTGCAGCTCCACTGGAATAATTTTGGTTTAAATGCATAAATGCTACTCTATAACTTTCACTGCTCACATTTAAACGCGAGTGAGCCCAGGAGATAAGTTGACAAAAACATGTGCTCTTATTGAACATGATGTAATGTTTTATCCTGTTAGTCTACATGGTGGTACCATTAGCCACATAAACACATAAACAGAAAAAAAAACTAATGTTTGACTGTTAGTTTCCAGATGAGACGTCTGTGTAATTTAGAGAACTGAAAATAGGTGGAGACAAAAAAAAATCTAGAGGATACTAGCCTTTTGTGTCTACCCACTACATTAGACAGGAAATGGCACATTTTTATCCACAGGGTGCACTGTTAGTATTTCTGTTGATAGTCATATCAGAATGCAGAGGTCATAGGTCACTGGATTATCAGAGTGAATCAGTAAATATCATAAATGTATATTTTCTTTTTTATAGTCAACAGACAAAAGGAGTATTTGGTATATAACAATTGTCACTGTGATTGAACTTATGCACAAACTACCAATTTAAAAACTGACGTAAACAATATTTTTATATATGGTATTTATTGTGCAATCTTGAATTATCTTCCATACAGTTCTGCTATTGAGGCATGCCACAAATGCAGGTCAAATGAAAGTTGTCCTTGCCTGGCCTTAAAAAAAATCAGGATGCTGAAGCAGAAAGACAGATGTCTCTTTTTCTGACAAAATTACAACAATCTGATGAAGGACTCTAGAGCTTTGAAATCTGTCAAGGTTGGGACTGCATTCTGGTCAAAAACATATCTTCAAAAGTAAATGGCAAGATTATACATTTTATTCCCAATATTATTTTCCTTATTTTTCAAATAAATCCCACTCATGTATCAAACTCATGGGGACACAAGACAGATGTCTCAACTGAAACATTTCAGCTCATTAATGTTTACACATTTGAATTTTTATGTGTATTGCCTTTTTTAATGTGAATCTGTTGTGTGTGAATGCATAAAGTATTTATGTTTGTGATAAGTGCGTCACTGCTCCTCACTCTGCTCCTCGGTTCCCCTCAGCGCCTGTCTCCAGTCCCACTCACTTCTCCCAGGCCATGTTTTTCCCTTCATTTCCCAAGAACTACCATTCTCCATTTGTCCACTAGATGTCCCCAGACATTCTTTTTGTCTTCATATCCACCAGTTGATGCCATCAACCAAACAATTTATTAATATATAATATCTGAATTTACATTCAGGAATGCCCACACACAAAGGTAATATATGGATATATATTCAATTTCCATATATGAAATATAGGTACATATGAAGTTAAATCATATATGTATTTAAAGTATAGCCTATATATGTAAAAATGACATATGATACCTTCTCAAAATTGGAACAATATCATATACTAATGACATATATGTCTAGCTAATATAAGTATATGTATTTTAGAATGTCTGTTTATATTAGAGACATATTTTACATAAATATATATCCATCCCAAAGCTAGTCAGTATATGTTCATATTATATATGTTTAAATATAAAAGATAGACATGTATAATGATATATGACACATATGGTAACATCATTCTTGATATAGGGACATACTGTATATGTTATATATATGTCATAAGTCATATTATAAAAAGGCATAAAAAGTCATAGTATAGTAAGTCATTAGTCTCTCCTGATTAGTTTCCCTAGTGTTTCAGTTTTGCTCCTGGGTTTTGCCTCAATTTTGGATTTTGAGTCCTGTAAGTAGTCAGTTTTTGTTATTAAAAGACCTTTTCCCACCAACCCCCTTTTCGTGGTCTGCGTTTGGGTTCAGTTTTTCCCTCAAACGACGGTAGAGAAAAGCAGGAGCAAAACACAAGCAAAAACAGAAAATCCAAACACACCAGAAACATAGGAGCAAGAGCCATGAAAATGAGACCAACCGACACAGACAAAGGGGAACACAGAGATTAAATAAACACAAGGGAGCCACAGGTGAAACACATTAGGGCAGGGCAGACAATCAACAAGGAGGGAAACAGGACAAAGACAGGAAGTCAAAACATCAAGAGACACACAAGGAAACTAACTACAAAATAAAACAGGAAACGACCAAACTCAAACATAAATTGTCCGTCATGGCAACCCATGACCGTAAGGCATAAAAATTTGATAGTACAGTAAGGCATAAAAATGTCATAATATAGTATGGCATAAAAACATCATAGTATACGGTATAAAAATTCATAGTATAATAAGTCATAGGAAACTTCATAGAATATTAAGGCATAAAAATGTCATAGTACAGTAAGGCATAAAAAGGCACAAAAAGTCATAAAAAAGTACAATAAGGCATAAAAGGTCATAATAAAATAAGGCATAAAAACGTCATAGTATATGTCATAAAAAGTCATAAAAATGTCACAGTATAGTAAGGCATAAAACATCATAGTATAGTGAGGCATGAAAAAAGGCTATAGTATAATAAGACATAAAAAGCAATGCCGGATTTAGATAGCGGTGACATGGGCATCCGCCCATCTTGTCGGGGGCGGGCACGGGCACTCCTAAAAAAAAAAGGAAATGTTACATTTGTACATGTCACTCTGTAAATCAGAGCAGGCGCCCTTTCTAGTTTGTGCAGCTTGTGCTGAGAATGTCTACCTTTAGAGGTGGTGGTAGATGGGGAGGGGAGCGCACTTCGAATCCTTACAGAAATAATGCAATTAGTAAATTAGTCACACCAAGGAAAAACTACTTAAATCAACCGCAATTCATTCATAATACTGAAAATCGTTAATAATAATTGTGTGTGTTTTAAGGTGCATTCGCATCTTTTCAGCTTCGCGCGTAGCCTACAAAACGTTACAGTGTGAATTCTACGCAAGGCATGAGGCCCCTTGGTTTCCTCCTCTGTCAGCCCAGCCACACCTGCTGCAGGTGAGTCACGTTCACAGTCTAAGAGTCGCTCAGTGCTGAAGCTGGTTCACATGGGAAGGACACCGACTTTCCAACTGGAGGCACGGGATCAAACCTGAGTTCGGACGACCTGAGGTACATCACACAACTGTGGGTGTGGGTGTGTGTATGTGTATGTGTATGTCTATGTGTATGTGTGTTTGTGAAAAAACAAACCTACCAACTTAATCCAACCATAAAAACAATCTAACCAAAACCCGAACTATAAAACAATAAAAACTTCCAATAAAAAGGAGAAAAACTTCAAAGTTCACAAAAATCGCTTCGCTTTCTCGTGCGGACGTCCACGATTTCCACCGAGGTGCGATAAGGAGGTTACAGTAAAGGTAAGCCCTGGGGTCCAGCTAGCTAAGCATAGCTAGCACTTTGGGCACTTTGGCTCCTTTTGTTTTAACTTGACATACTCTGAGTTTCTGATATGGAAATAAAATGTCTATTGATTAGATTAGATTAAAGGAAAACCAAAAAAGGTGCATTTGCGAGATCGGTTTCAATCGCTCATTTGCACATTAAATCAATGACCACTGTGTCGGATTGGGCACCATTTCTACTTTGTCCTTTCTCACTCTCAGAGGTGGTGGTAGATGGGGAGAAGGCTGGAGGAGTTTGAACAACTACTAAAATCAGTCACAGCAGGAAAAGCTGCCAAACAAGCGAAATAATACTGTGAAATTGTTTGGAATAATAGACTACTCAGCGCAGCACCACACGTGTGAGTCTTGTTTATATGGGTATCTATACACATAGATAAAAAGTCATTAAAACGTCATAGTGTAGTTAGGCATAAATAGTACGAAAAATGACATACTATAGCCTACTATGACGATTTTATGACTTTTTATGCCATATAATGATGTTTTTATGACTTTTTATATCTGACTATACAAAGACATTTTTCTGCATTCTTAGGTGGTGTTCATGTACCGTAACGTTTTTATGCATTACTATATTATGACGTTTCTTGATGTTTTTATGCCTTATTATACTATGACATTTTTGGATGTTTTTATGCCTTACTATACTATGACGTTTTTGATATCTTTATGGCTTACTATACTATGATATTTTATGCCATTTTTATGCTTTATTATACTATGACGTTTTTTGATATTTTTATGCCTTACTATACTATGACGTTTTTTGATATCTTTATGGCTTACTATACTATGCCATTTTATGCCATTTTTATGCTTTACTATACTATGACATTTTTGTCGTTTTCATGCCTTTCTATTTTATGATGTTTCTTGAAGTTTTTATGGCTCACTATACTATGACGTTATACTGCATTTTTATACCCTACTATAGTATAACATTTCATGCCATTTTTATGCCTGAATATACTATGATGTTTTTTGATGTTTTTATGCCTAACTACACTATGACATTATATTGCATTTTAATGCCCTACTATAATATGGTATTTTATGCCGTTTTTATACCTTATTATACTATGATGTTTTTATGCATTTTTATGCCTTACTATACTGTGATGTTTTTTTTGCCTTTTTATGCCTTACTATATACTATGTTGTTTTTTGACATTTTTACTGCTTACTATAAAATGACGTTATATTGCATTTTTATGCCTTACTATACTATGACGTATACTAGATGTTTTTCTGACCTATTTATGTATTAATATACTTTGCTTTTTTTGATGTATTATGCCA